CTCACACACACACACAAACACACACACACACACACACACACACACACACACACACAGACACACACACACACTCTCTCTCACACACACTCACACACACACACGCTCTCTCTCACACACACACACACTCTCACAGACACACACTCTCTCTCTCTCTCTCTCTCTCTCTCACACACACGCACACACACTCACAGACACACACACTCTCACAGACACTAGGGATGGCTCGATATCATAATTTTGGCTTCGGTACGATACCAGAATGTAATACCTCGGTATCGATACTAAATCGATACCATAGGTGACAAATGACCAGCCTCAAAAGATAAGTGAATTGAAAACAATTTTTTTTAAATAATAATAATAAAAATAGATTCATATCTTAATACCTTTGTATCAAACTGTAACAAAAAAACAACAACAACAGGAAACAGAAAATAAAGAAATTATATGTAAAACATTAGATGTGATGTATTAGCAAAGTGAATGATCCTCATATACAGTATTTATTAATCACGTTATTCTCTCCTCTCTCAGACTTTTTTCAGACTCAGCCAATCACTCTCTCGGCCGCTTCATATTAGCGGTCGGCAGCACGGCAGAAACATTTCCTTCATATTATTGATACTAAAATTAATATAGCAAAACTCTTGCTTCATTCAAAATATCATTGTTTGAAATGCAAGTGCAAATATTGTGACCAAACCTAAACTGGTTCTAGCATGTCATACACGCAAGTTTGAGCTTTCGTGTTTACTCTGTATCACATCTTATGTATGTGCGTTGATCAGTTGTGAATAAGTTAATTAAATCAGATTTTTTTGAATGAGGACTGATGCACTCACCTGTCGATCTCTAAATTCGCGAAAGATCAGGATGAGCAAATGACAAATGCTTGGAAAGGTTTGATGTGTTGCCTTCTGTGGCAACATATTTATAGCAATGCTTGCATACAGGTGCAGTAAGGTCAGTTCGTTCACCTTTATCATCTGTTTTGTATGCAACAATGCCATATTTCACTTCTGTTGTCATTATTTACTAGTTTTGGGCACGTTGATGGAGTTTCATCTGTTTGATGATCCATCGCATTTGTTCTGTTGTCACGTTTACCGGTTTCGCAGCAATTTGGGAAGCACTGCCGCCAACAGGTGAACTTCGGAACAGCAGCGTATGAAATACCGAATTGAGCAAAATTATGATATCGAACCGTTTGAAATATAATATATACCGATATTTTTCCAGTACCGGTATACCGCGCATCCCTAACAGACACACACACACCACACACGCACACAACACACACACACACACACACTCACAGACACACACACACACAGACACTCACAGACACTCAAAGACACTCACACGCACTCACAGACACACACACACACACACGCACTCACAGACACACAGACACGCACACACTCACACAGACACGCACACACTCACAGACACACACTCCCAGACACACTCACAGACACACACACAGACACACTCACAGACACACAGACACGCACACACTCACACAGACACGCACACACTCACAGACACACACTCCCAGACACACTCACAGACACACACACAGACACACTCACACACAGACACACACACTCATGGTTTTACCTTGCTCAGCAGGTACAGGTCCAGCAATTTTCTCTCCACGTGAGGAAAGCGCAGTTTGCAGCCCTGGAGCTCCCAGAACTTGGCGATCTGGTCGAGGAAGTTGAGCTTGACTCTGGTGAGGGCCTGAAGGGAGGAGACACGAGGTGAGGAACAAACACAGCGACCTTCGCTATCACAGGACTGAGCCACTGAACTCACCTCCAACTCATTGAGCCGCTGGATTCGAGGAGTGAAGCGGAAACTGTGAACGTCGCAGGCGAAGGGAGGCTGCCAGCCCTGGAACACACAAACACACAGCAGCTATGAGTCTGTGAACAGAGCAGCTCCATCATGCATTCACACACACTTCAACCAAAGCACCTACACTGCATTCAAACATCTGATCAGGTAACGTTGACCCTGGAATCCCACCCATGGCTTCAGCATTTAAAATAATGGCAACATTTAACTTACTGTACTAAACTAACTAAAACCAAAATAAAAATATAATAAAAATCATAGACATTAAAAATAAATAAATAAATAAAAATGACAAACACACAAAAAATTACTCAAACTTTAAATTTAAACAGCAGTCGGATCCGGTGTTTTACCGTGGTGTACTATGGTAAATCGCTGTTACAGTACCTGCGGCGGTTGGGTCTGGTGTTTTACTGTGCTGTACTATGGTAAATCGCTGTTACGGTACCGCCGGCGGTCGGGTCTGGTGTTTTACTGTGGTGTACTATAGTAAATCGCTGTTACGGTACCGCCGGCGGTCGGGTCTGGTGTTTTACTGTGGGGTACTATGGTAAATCGCTGTTACAGTACCCGCGGCGGTCGGATCTGGTGTTTTACTGTGGGGTACTATGGTAAATCGCTGTTACAGTACCCGCGGCGGTCGGATCTGGTGTTTTACTGTGGGGTACTATGGTAAATCGCTGTTACAGTACCCGCGGCGGTCGGATCTGGTGTTTTACTGTGGGGTACTATGGTAAATCGCTGTTACAGTACCCGCGGCGGTCGGATCTGGTGTTTTACTGTGGGGTACTATGGTAAATCGCTGTTACAGTACCCGCGGCGGTCGGATCTGGTGTTTTACTGTGGGGTACTATGGTAAATCGCTGTTACAGTACCCGCGGCGGTCGGATCTGGTGTTTTACTGTGGGGTACTATGGTAAATCGCTGTTACAGTACCCGCGGCGGTCGGATCTGGTGTTTTACTGTGGGGTACTATGGTAAATCGCTGTTACAGTACCCGCGGCGGTCGGATCTGGTGTTTTACTGTGGGGTACTATGGTAAATCGCTGTTACAGTACCCGCGGCGGTCGGATCTGGGGTTTTACTGTGGTGTACTATAGTAAATCGCTGTTACGGTACCCGCGGCGGTCGGATCTAGTGTTTTACTGTGGTGTACTATGGTAAATCGCTGTTAAAGTACCCGCGGCGGTCGGATCTGGTGTTTACTGTGGTGTACTATGGTAAATCGCTGTTACGGTACCTGCGGAGGTCGGATCTGGTGTTTTACTGTGGTGTACTATGGTAAATCAATGTTACGGTACCCGCGGCGGTCGGATCTGGTGTTTTACTGTGCTGTACTATGGTAAATCGCTGTTACGGTACCGGCGGCGGTCGGATCTGGTGTTTTACTGTGCTGTACTATGGTAAATCGCTGTTACGGTACCGGCGGCGGTCGGATCTGGTGTTTTACTGTGCTGTACTATGGTAAATCGCTGTTACGGTACCGGCGGCGGTCGGATCTGGTGTTTTACTGTGCTGTACTATGGTAAATCGCTGTTACGGTACCGGCGGCGGTCGGATCTGGTGTTTTACTGTGCTGTACTATGGTAAATCGCTGTTACGGTACCGGCGGCGGTCGGATCTGGTGTTTTACTGTGCTGTACTATGGTAAATCGCTGTTACGGTACCGGCGGCGGTCGGATCTGGTGTTTTACTGTGCTGTACTATGGTAAATCGCTGTTACGGTACCGGCGGCGGTCGGATCTGGTGTTTTACTGTGCTGTACTATGGTAAATCGCTGTTACGGTACCGGCGGCGGTCGGATCTGGTGTTTTACTGTGCTGTACTATGGTAAATCGCTGTTACGGTACCGGCGGCGGTCGGATCTGGTGTTTTACTGTGCTGTACTATGGTAAATCGCTGTTACGGTACCGGCGGCGGTCGGATCTGGTGTTTTACTGTGCTGTACTATGGTAAATCGCTGTTACGGTACCGGCGGCGGTCGGATCTGGTGTTTTACTGTGCTGTACTATGGTAAATCGCTGTTACGGTACCGGCGGCGGTCGGATCTGGTGTTTTACTGTGCTGTACTATGGTAAATCGCTGTTACGGTACCGGCGGCGGTCGGATCTGGTGTTTTACTGTGGTGTACTATGGTAAATAGATGTTACGGTACTGGCGGCGGTCGGATCTGGTGTTTTACTGTGGTGTACTATGGTAAATCGCTGTTACGGTACTGGCGGCGGTCGGATCTGGTGTTTTACTGTGGTGTACTATGGTAAATCGCTGTTACGGTACTGGCGGCGGTCGGATCTGGTGTTTTACTGTGGTGTACTATGGTAAATCGCTGTTACGGTACTGGCGGCGGTCGGATCTGGTGTTTTACTGTG